AAGAACTTTCCGACTTGAGTCTCCCTGAGAGGGTGGGGCCTGAGCTCCAGGAAAGGTGGGCGGCCGGGGTGGACGGTTGCGCGCATAGGGACCTTGAAAATACCGGTGCCGCCACCAGCGCCAATGAACTCTGGCAAAGTGTGGCATTGGCGGGGATCATCGGGGCCACCATCCAAGGAGAGGTTCTGGTCGAGCCTCTGGGAGTGAGAGCCGATGATATATTCTTCAGCAGAGGGAGCGTTGTTAGAAAAGGAGGAGGAGTGCTGGAAGAACTCATCATCGGAAGAGTCGTTGTTGTAGTAATTATGGTCGAGGGGCTTGGGGATGTCATCCAGGCTGTGCTTGCGGACTTGGTGGTAACGCTTCTGGGCGTAGGGGGCGCGTAGCTGCTGACTATAGGAGTGGATGTTGCGTTGGGGAGTTGGGGCAGAGCTGAGGCGGGCGAGGGCATCCCTGTCGTCATCGTCGTCTTGGATGATATGTTCATCCATTATTAGTAAATGTCGTCTCACAGATATATAAATCTTTTCTTTTCAACAGTTTGATCATAAAAAGGAAAGCAAGAGGGAAATGAAATGAAAGTGAGAATGGGAGAGAGTCTAAGGAGAGAGGGAAAGTGGGGGAGAGGAGGAGAGCACGTTGCATTAAGTGAGAGCGAGGACGTAGGCGGGACAATCTGAGGAGCTTAAGGACAGGAATGTTTCTTCTTTTTTTAAGACTTTTAACTGCAACGCAACCTGAATGCTACGTGCATTTGTCTTGTCTCATGCTCGTCGCTGCCTGCCCGACCTTCCTCTTTCATTTTGCATTCACGCACCACGTGCGCTCTCAGCCTCTCAAATTTTACTACTATCGTGGAGTCAGTCGTACTACTAGTACTTGTTTTTCTTTCCTTCTTTCTCTCTTTAGTTTACGATAATTTATCTCTAATCCAACAAATTTCCAGGGCACTTTACTCCGCCGATCCAATGCCAAATGCCATTCTATATTAGTATATCCGTTCGCTGTAAATACCATCTTCTATGTAAGCTTTTGTACGGTGTACTCTTTATTTAAGAAAAACACCATTCCCACATGAAATCCAACGACAATTAATTTACTCGTCAGGCAACACTTCTTTAACTGGTGATTTCGGTGGTGATTTCGGTACATAAAACAATGCTTTTTTTCCCCCTTTTATTTAAAGGTAAAAGGAGGACATCAAATAAAACATAACATGCATCATCTGTATGTCTTCCAATTTCAGATAAACTGTATGAATGAAATCAATCTCCTAACTTAAGCACCCGCTTCTCAATAGCCAACCATCGTTATCACAGGGACGACTGACCTAGAGCTCTTTTCCATCTTCCAAGCTTCTCTCTTCCCTGTTGAAGGAACTACTAGTTATACATCCTTTAACACAACCATTATACTTGATGATAACCAATGTATAGTAAACATGTAAAGCTTACAAGCTGCTATATATGGTCTTTACTATAGTATACATTCAAGGAAAAACGCGGGTGCGGAACTGCAGAAAAGCTACTGACTGAAACCATGTTACCATACCTTTCTAACTTCAATAGCCCATTTATTATCAGCGATCGATATTGCCTCAAAGCCCATTGGATGCAACACGTCTTCATAGCTGCATGGTTCAAAGTTCAAACAGATGGGATGGATTCATTCTTGTGTCAACACATAAATATCTCCCTATTTGATTAAAATTACAAGCAAAGCCATGGAAATAGGATTGGAAAATACAGAACAGGATCTAGATGAAAACAGAAAAGGAGGCAGAAAACTACTTTGCAATTGATACTTTATACGGGGGTCCACCAGCATGATCATCCATCTGCCATCAAATAATTATGCTCTCACTTACAGTGACATGACAAAGAGTAGAGTAGCAAAATCTCACTTTAATTAGTACAAACTTCTGTGGAAAATGTAAGTGCTTTACAGATTCAAAACCATAGCTACATGTAATTTGTAAAGAAAAACTGATCAAACGCAAAAAAAATCACCATGATAACGAGGTGTCCCTGAATGAGCGGAAAAGGAAACAAGAAAGAAAGGACAAATCATAAAACAACAAAGATGCTTACTGGAAACATCAATGTAATAAGCTCTCCATCTGGTTTTAAAAAATTTTGGATTTGCTGTGCCCATGCTGATCTCATATCTGGCTCAATGGCACAAAAAAACCTGCATATTCAATTAGATTGCAATGATCAAGAGGTTTTTGTAATGGGATAACAGCCAACTCTAAGATGACTTACGTATAATCAAAAATAAGATCAAACAAGTCTGTTGGGTGCCAGGTGAAAAAATCTGCCTTTATGAAGGTAAAATAATCTGCGTTTGGTAACGTGGAAGACATCTGGAATTGACAACCAAACAGAAAATAGATTAAGCAATTTTCAGAAAGAACTAAAACTAGCACAAATAGCTTTAAATTGGAGCTGCTACTCTATAAAACTTGTTAAATTGGGAGGACTGCAAAGGCCACACTTGCCTGCTTTGCTTTCTTTATTGCCTCCTCGGATATGTCCAGTCCAACAACGTAGCGTCCAGGGCATGCCATCTCCACTACATCATAGCCCTGTCATATTTCAGCAATTTATTCCTGTTTAAATCACTAATATAAGATGCTAGCAGAGGTTTTAGGGAAGAAATATGATGAGCATAATTGCAGAGAGAGAAGTAAAGGTGGTACCAATTCGCATAGTGAATGCAGTTGCATTTTGAAAGCGA